GTAAAGTGAGGTCTACGGTTTGGTACTTTTAACATTGACGGAGGATCAATGGGGTTGGATCAAGAATATAAGCGAAGAAATGGGCTCTTGAGAGCCGTCCGTATCCTTTCCCTGATTTGATTTACTTCTTATTTGCATACTTGAACTGAACGGTTATGCTTATGTGATCTTAGTTGCTATTGTGGTAGTAACTCACTGAGATTTAGCTCACTCCGTTCCATTTGTTTTTCTTACAGGAAAATGATCACTTTTGGGGAAAAGTTCATACTTGTCGGTTGCCAAATTGAGCTTTTGTATATGTATCTTTTGAATAGCTTTTGAATGAAACCCTAATGTGTATTGGGTTCACTTTCTTTTGGATTGGCAAACCAAGTATGTATATTCATGATGAATGGTTTTTGTGGCATGCCATTTGGTTGTAAATGTTAAATTTCAATGTATATATGTTGGTTTGTTCCGGAACTTATTTGAGCGACGTAAACTGATCCGTTAGTCCTGGCGAGAGCTGGGCAGGCAGTCCGCTAACCCTTTTGGTTCGCCTTAGGGGAAGGTGGGGCTGTCACACAGGGGAGCAAGGTGTTGGAGCTGAGAGGAAAAAGACTGAAACAAGAAGGAAAAACTGAGAAGAGAAACCGAGAGAGCTGAGAGTAAGGCTGAGAAATTCTAAGCAAAAGGAAAGGGAAAGCAGCGAGTGAAGGAGAAAACCATCGCTTTCCATCATCGGTTTCCATCATTGTTGAAGGACAACTCTGTCCGCTAAAGATCTTTCCAATCCGCTTCCTTTTTGCTGTCCAGGTATGTTACTTCTTATCTATCTGTTTGACGATGACGAGGTAGCCTTGACATACTTATGATTTTAAGGTTCTTGGTACAGTCTATGATGAACCCATGAGGTCTTTCGTTGGATGTTTATGGTTGCCCTCTTATGTTTTGACAGGCCAAAATCAGAAAAATCACATAAATTTCCTGTTTCAACGTTCCATTCCTTGTGATAGTGATTAATGGTTTTGTTAGAACCCCTGCAACAAGATGAAACCTTTTGCTTGTTGCAACTGTTTCCGGTACTTTTTTTTTTTAATCTTTTTTGGCCTTTCGGTCGCTGAGATAGCGTTTGATGTGATGCTGTGTTTGTTGTTTGATCCAAAGGTTTTAACTTTCTCCAATCTGGTAAGCCAAAGACTACATCTTTGGTCCTTATTTGCATAACCTGGGTCTGTTAGGGCCTTTGGAGTCCAATCGAAGGATGCGCTGCGACAAGCTCGAAGTTATCGGCTTGTTGCAGCAGTTTTTTCTTTCTGGGATTGCTAAAGTTGTGGTTTCATTTGATAATCTTGTTTTCGTTTGCAATTGGAGTGGGATACTATGAACATATCAGCTATCAGGGCTGTGTTTAGAAAGTCATTAGCCTTGAACTAAAGGCATACTGTCCTCTTTTCCCATTCCCTCGCTGTTATGCGAGCAATTCAAGTAGCTGAGAGTTGCTGCAACAAGGACGGTGCTCCTTGTCCTGCTGCAGCAATGTAGACAGATTAGAGCCCTATTCTCTATTGCAGCAATAAAAATTTTGATCTTTTGAATTGTTGAAGTTTCTGGAATGGTTTGAATTTCCTTTTTGGTTGGTTTGTTGTTTGATAATAATCTCATATATGAGTATGCTACGATTTAAAACAGCAATCAGTAAGCCTGCTACCTTCTGTTGTGCTCCTGTTCGTTCACTTGTTTAAGTAACTGTTTTCTTACGTTTCTGTGGAGTTTTGCTTAAGAGCCCGTTTGAGAGATTTTGACTTGCTTTACCATGAAACAAGACTTTCACTGCTGTTTTCCTTTTCATAATGCCGACCAAGTGTGAGTGTTAACTTGTTAAGTGAACTCCCATAGGTAAATTCAGAACTGGTGGAGACCTTTTGAATGAATTAGAATTTGCAAACTTTCACTTTGTTAGCTCTTATCCTCTTGTATGTACAACATGGCATTTTGATTATGAGTTTACGAAAGTTAATGTCGGTTTGGCTGCTGAATCTGTTTGGGTTTGAGCTGCAATTGTTGCAGCAGAAAGAGCTTGCTTTGTGGGAGCAAAGAAAGCTTCGGTCTGCCGGAGCCCAGAAACCTTTAGGAAATTTTAGGAACCTGAAGTTTTGGATGCTCCTTTGTTCTTTCTTAAAGCTGTGCTTTGTATCTTTTGATGGGGAGCTTATGTATATGGTGTATCAGTTTCTCCCGTGAAACTGAAGTAATGTGAGCTGCTAACTTTGGGTGGTTTTCGCTCTTGTCCATGATTTAAGTTTGTTTTAAGGGCCTGTGATTCAAAGCTGTAATTGCTTGGATGTAGGCTGTGTTCGACAGTCCTTTTTTTTCCTTTTTTCTTTCTTTTTGATTCCAAGCTCCGGTGTTTTCTATTTAGTTAACAAATCAATCAAGTTTTTCTTGGTTTGTTCGCATGAATGCATCTAAGTTGAATAAAGAAATTGCATGAGAATGGTTAGGGAAGAAAAGAAAAAAATTTCTGAAGTATAGAAAGTAGTTGCAGATGTTTGTTTCTCAGTTAATTTGCATAATTGCCTTGTCAGGTGTTGTTTAGTCTTGTTTTAATTAAAGTTAGTTCAAAGTTTCGCTTGCTGAAGGTTTATGAATGAAGCTTGCGGATGAAATCATAGGGAATTCACTTTTTAGCATGCTGGAAGTTGTTTTTTTTTTGGTTTGTTACTGCAGAAGCTGGGTCGTAGCATTTTGCATGCATTTTGCATGGGAATGTTCAAAAAATTGTACTTTAACCCCTTAATTTGGGTTTAGTGCTACTATGGCCCATAAGATTGAAAAGATTAATCATTTTTATCCTTTTGACATATTATTTTTCCTTGGTATGTTTTCATTTGATTTGTGGATAGATTTTTCATGAACTTTAGGATGAAATAGGAAAGTTTAATGGTTTTCTAAAGAACTTATAGTTTTGATGGTGCTACTATGGCCCATAATAACTCAATCACAGCAAATGCTGGATGAAGACTGTCCTTATTGAGGAAATATTTCACTCGTTTTCTTCTTATTTTTATCTTGGATTTGTGTATCAATTTGCTTTCAAAGCAAATTCAGATTAAAAAAAATGGGATGTTGACTTGTGGAAAATGTGAAGCAATTAATGTTGAATATTGATTTGAGTCCCATTTCGGATGGTTTTGTTCCTATCCATTTATTATCATCACTTTTTTTTTGGAATAAAGCAAAGTGGTCATATTGTAAAGCTCACATTATAGTATTATACTTAACAAATTTGAAAATTAGATAACCTTCATGTATTTGTGACATGTTTGACAGTTAGTTTCCTTTTTGTATTTATGAACCAAATGTGTAGTTGTGACATGTTTGAATTTACTAATAGCTGTGTTGTATTTTGTTTAATTTTTATTATTGTTGTATGGGAAGATTAATTTCCTGTATTGAGCTTAATTTCCTATATTTTGAAAATTACTCCCTAAGTAGTAAGCATAACGTATCCAAGTTGATTAATTCATGTCAATTTAGATTAGGGATTATAAAATCCTAAGAGCCTTGATTTCTCTAATTTCTTATTTAGTTAATTATATCATTGTTATTTGAACTATGGGTGTTTGGTTGTTTTGTGATCAAGTGAGAGTTGGATGATGGTGATCTCTGATTTCACCTCACATTGACAGTTTTGGCATGCCAAATGGGATCAAATGAAGTCTTCTTACCCATATAAAAATTGACCCATTTGGACAGCAATTCAACATGCTTTGTCCCTTGAGGTGAGATTCTACAGACAAAGTGGTACAGAAACTCATGACCTTGATGGCATATGTTGGATCCCAAGGTCATGTTCTTGAAGCAAAAAATGACAAATTTTGGGAAGTGATGGAAATCCACCACGCTGTTAGAAGCTTGACGGAGTCTACGATTGTATCATCCAGCACTAGTTCATGGACTAGCTATAGTTCGAAACAGCAACCACAATCCAAATTTAAAAAACTTGTATTAAAAAGCAGTGCAGTTGCATTATCAATGTGTCAGATATCTCCTATGGATGCTGTGGAGTGTCTTCATTCTCTAGATGCTACACTCCTTGGCATGACGAGTATTTTAATGGCTATGAGGAGAATCAACCAATATATCCCACTTGACGCTGAACTAGTTATGTTGATTTTCTCTGGGGGTTGAAGAAAAATGAATACCAGAGCGTGGACTCTATTGCAGTCTACGAGAGCACCTTCTATTAGAGGTAGATGGTAGTATGCCTAGTGTTCAAGAGAGGTATAGCCTCCAGTAGAAGGAGAAGTTTCCTTAAAATTTGATAAAAATGATGAGTTACAACTTACAAGATGTTTGCGTGAATATACTAGGTGACTTTTGCTATCCATTGCTATACAATGTGTCATGATCGAAATACCATAAGACAAAAAAAGAGAAGGTATAACAAGTGGCCAATTACTTTTATCAGGGCTAGCTCCTGACCATTGTAGAATAGTGTCTTACAATCATGATCTAAAATTCACAGGAACTTCTCCGTATGATAGCATTGGAGCTATATCAACCCTTATTAGGTTAAGTGTCTAACGAAGTTCTGATTGTTGGAATGGGAGACCACGGAGAAGTCTTTCAGTGGCTTCACGTTTTCTTCTTATTCATCAAGTGAAATAATTGAAGATTTAGCCTCACTCTCCATTACTCGAATGGTGCAGAGTGGAAATAAGTTGGATGCCACACTTTATTCTGATGAAAGTTACTGTAGCATTTCTCCTTTTCCCAAAGTCAAAGAAGCAACTATGTATAATGAACTATACAACAAACTTCAACAACCAATGGAGGAGGTGAAAATTTCTAGGCGAGAAGCATAGGAAGAATATACGAAGCATAGGAAAGCTATAAAAGATGCAATTAAAGCTGCCAAACAAACTAGAGCATCAGAAACTATGTACTTAGAGGAATTCACACATAGCATAGAAGTTGAGAAAGTGTTAGTAAAGAATAAGGAAAAAATTGAAAACATGCAATGTCAACTAGATGAAATCAAGGATAATCTCCAAGTTGCTATGGAACAGAAATCTACTCTAAAGTGCCATATTGCGACTTCTAATAAGACAGTAGAGGAGTTGAAACAAAGAATGTTCTCTGCTATCAAGCTATTGCAAAAATATATTGAAAGAGATAAAATACAGGTTGAGCATAACAACATAGTCAGTGAAGTAGGGGAGCTGAGGGTGTCTCAAGTTCATCCATGTCTTGTTTCTTTCCTGAATATTGCTTCTAGAAAATTAAAGAAGCAACTCGCAATTTTGATGAAGCATTGAAGATAGGTGAAGGAGATTATGGAATTATCTATTATGGTCTCCTTCGTCACAATAGTAGCTATAAAGTTCTGCACCCACATAGCTCGTTGGGTTCCTTGAAGTTTCAACAAGAGGTACTCATTTGAGTAAATTGAGGCATCCAAACATTGTCACGTTTATAGGAACTTGCTAGAGACTTGGGCCCTCATATTTGAGTATCTGCCCAATGGAAGTGTTGAAGATAGACTCAACTACAAGGATAATACACCCACATTATCATGGCAAACTTGAATTCGTATTACTTCAGAGCTCTGTTATGTTGTTATCTTCTTGCATTCTTGCAGCCCTAAAGGCATTATCCACAATGATTTAAAATAGGCAAATATTTTGCTTGACAACAATTTTGCCATCAAGTTTAGTCGGTTTGGAATGTGTTGTGTCCTTAGGGAAGATGAATTTTCAGACAACACCAGTTCATTATGCTACAGAATGGATCCAAAATATACTCTTGCATATATAGGCCCCGAATTTCTTGCAACTAGAGATATAATTGCAAAGTCAGATATCTATTCATTCGAGATCATATTATTGAAACTGTTAACTGGGAAGCCTGCAACAGGGGTATATAAAGAAGTTCAGAATCCATTAAAGAAATTTTGAAAGATGTCTTGGACCCCACTATGGGAGACTGCCCTTATGTGCAAGTGCAATAGTTGGTTCACTTAGTAATGAGTTGTTGCAAAATGAGTGAAAAAAATCTTCTTGAACTTGCTTCAGAGATATGGAGGGTACTTCAACCAACAAGAGCATCTCGTGAGGCATCTTGTTCTCGATTGTTATCTAAAGAGCAGTCCTAGGTTCTAATCTTACTTCATATGTTCCATTTTTCGGGAAGGGTCTATGCATAATGAATTGTACACAGACTTCAACAATCTATGGAGGAGGTGGAAATTTCTAGGCACAAAGTATATGAAAAATCAATGAAGCATATGAATGCTGTAAAAAAGGGTATTGAGGCTGCCAGGCGTGTTAGAGCATAAGAAACTATGTACTTAGAGGACTTCAGACAGAGAAAAGAAGTTGAGGAAGTGTTAGTAAAGAATAAGGAAGAAATTGAAAACATGCAATATCAACTAGATGAAAAATAGGATAATATCCAAGTTACTATAAAACATAAATCTTCTCTAGAGTGCTACATTGCAAATTCTGATAAGATAGTAGAGAGGAGTTGAAACAGAGAATGTTCTCTACTATCAAGTTGTTGCAAAAATATATTGAAAGAGCTAATATATAGGTCGAGCATGACAACACAGTCAATGAAGCTGAGGAGTTGAGAAAAAAGAAAGCTGAGGCGGTATCAAGGGCATCTATGTCTTCTTTATTTCCTGAATATTCCTTCTGGGGAATTAAAGATTGCAAAGCATTAAAGATAGGCGAAGGGGATTATGGAATTATTTATAAGGGTCCCTTTGATCACAATCAAGAAGCTATAAAATTTATGCTCTCGCATAGCTCGCGGGTTCCTTTGGAGTTTCAACAAAAGTTACGCATTTTGAGTAAATTGAGGCACCCAAACATTGCCACGTTTATATGAGTTTGCTCAAAAACTTGGGCTCTCATCTTTGAGTATCTATCGCGATGGTAGTGTTGAAGATAAACTCAGTTGCAAGGATAATACATCCCTACTATCATGGCAAACTTGAATTTGTATTGCTCCAAAGCTCTATTCTATTGCTATCTTCTTGCATTCTTGCAATCGTAGAGGCATTATTCAAGGTGATCTAAAACTAACAAATATTTTTCTTGACAATAAGTTTCGCTAAGCTAAGTGGGTTTGAAATATGTCGTGTCTTTGGGGAAGATGAATTTTAAGACAACAGCACTTCACTGCACTACAGAACAGACCCAAAAGGCACTCTTGCAAACATAGACCCTAAATTTCTTGCAACTAGAGAGTTAACTAAAAATTCAATATTTATTCTTGGGCAAAAGACATAGAACCCTCCTGTGGTTTGCCTATCATGAAACTCCCTCATTTTTTAAAAACACCCACATAACCTTCTTGTGCTTTGGACTAATTTGGAAAATGGACAGAAATCATCCAAATTGACGGAAAGATGTAAATTTCCTATATTAACCCTGTTTCCAAACTAAATCAAAGGTTAACTCAGGGCTCAGTTAAAGTTTTAAAAACTTTCTTCCTTCATTTGAAACAAATGTAAAAGTAAGGGGCTCATTTGAAATTTTATAAGATGTATCATCTTCTTCAAGGAAATGTCAGAGCGTTTGGGCTTTTGTTTCTTCCTTTTTTTCAAACATTTTTCTTGTTTTCCCTTTCCCGTTTGATTTTCCTTTCTTTTTCTTGCCCCATCAATCCAGTCAACACCACCCTTTCATTGCTGCCATCTTCTCGCCATCTTCATTTTCAACAGCATCTCTATTATCGCCAGTCTAGATTCATGACTTTTTCATGTGTTCTTCTATAAAATTAAGAACCCAAATCTAAGCAGCAACTTTCTTTGGAGACTTGGGTTGCTTGGTCTCTTTCTCCTCTGAATCATTAGTTTTCTTAGGCAACAAAACCGGGTCTTTCCCCTGCATCTTCATCACCAATCGTTCGAAGGTCTCAATCCCATCATAGTTGATTAGGAGGCTCTGGCCTCTCAGTATTCCAAGCAAGCCAAGAGGGTCTTCACTCTCCAATTACATGAAGGCAGTGGACCTCGATTTCTCCTTCTTGCCCATCGGTTGATTTTTATTTTTTTGCTTCCCTTTTCCTTTCCTTCCATCCATCCTTCAACTGACACCACCGTCAAATGGCATCGTCAGATCTAATTTTGCTATTCACGTTTCTATTGAATTTGTGATTAATTTGAAGTTGATAATAGAGCCACTATGTGATTGATATATTGGAGGCTTTTGTGTTAGGTTGGGATCATTGATTGAGAATTTTTTGTTAATATTTTGAGACTATTAGATTGAGAATTTTTGTTGTTATTTTGCACTCTATCTAATTAGAAATTTTTTGGTGTTATTTTGGGTCATTGAGCATTGGAATCAGTGATGATTGGTGGTAGAGTTGCTAGTGATTGGTGGCGATGGTGGAGCTACTGGTGATCGGTGGCAGTACTGATGATGATTGGTGTTCACCAGTATCGTTGACCATTTTACTGTTATTGACCAGTTTGGTTGTGAGCAGGGAAGAAATAGAGAAGGAAAATAAACAAAAAAAGGAAAGGAAATAAAAAAGGAATTGACAAAAACTGCAAAATACTGAATTGTCCTTGACAATGTCACTTGAAACTCATTTAATACACGAGTGTATCTCAAATGCCATTATTTTGGATGCTTTTTATCCAAGTTCCGAAAGAAGTCCAAAGTATAGGGAGCTTATGTGGGAGTTTTTAAATAATGAGGAAGTTTTATGTACAATTGATATACCATAGGGGGGTTTACTGTATTTTACCCTTTATTCTTTCAGGATCATATTATTGAGACTATTAATTGGGAAGCCTACTCTAGGGATGTTGTAGGAAGTTCAGAATGCATTAAATAAATGAAATTTAAAAGATATCTTGGTCTCAACTGCCGGGATTGGCTATTTGTGCAAGTGCAATAGTTGGTTTACTTAGCAATGAGTTGTTGTGTAATGAGTCAAAAGAATCTTCCTAACTTGCTTCAGAGATATCGATGGTGCTTGAACCAATAGGAGCATCTTGTGAGGTATCTTGTTCTAGGTTGTTATCCAAAGAGCAATTCCAAGTCCCCTCTTACTTCATCTGTCCCATCTTTCAGCTACAAGTAAGCATGCAGGCTCTGTTTGGATCCTTCAATTTCTCAAAAATTAGTTTTTCAAATATTATAAAAATTTTTAAAAAGTAGTCTAAATTTTTTTAATATTCAAAAAATATCCTAAAATATATTTTTAAAACTCTATTGAAAATATTTCAAAATATACTCTAAAAACTGTGATATAGTAAAATTTTTCAAAACACCCCAAAAAATAACTAATCCAAATGGACGCATCAGTTTGTTTCTTGATTTGTAAATGTGTCTCTCAACCCTTTTGTATATCAAAGGAAGATGCACCATACATCTGATTCCTCTACCATAGATAATTGCAAAGAACTTTTTATGTATCCTCCACATGATAGAAATGACAGACTTAGGGAGGATCAGATCCCTTTAGAGAAAATTAAGAAATTATATATTCCTCTCATTCTCGAATATGAGTCCAGATCGAAAGTTACCACAAAGAAAGATGTGACTTGGATGGATTTTGCTAGACTATTAACCAATATCGAGGTTGAGAAGCGCATTTGGATATTTGAAGAGATCCACAAAAGGAACTTGCATATCATGGAAGGACCTTTCAGTAAAGATCCACCGATTGCATGTACTTGGGATTTGCCCAAGGAAAGGCACGCTGTAGTTTCGGTTGATGCTGGTTTTGACTCTAGTTTGAATACAATATTGTATGCAATCGTGATACGAGATGAACATGGTGAAATATTGTTGATACAATGTTTGACTACATGCATTCAATTTTGGAAAAGATTTGAACCATCTGAGGCTAAGGCTGAACCTATTCGTAAAGGCATTCAATTGACAAATGAGAATAAGGCAAAGTTAGGATATGACAAGTTCCTAGTTGAGTCTGATAGCAAAGAAGGCATTCGATGGGTTTCAAATTGGTAGAGAAAAATTATCCACTTTTGAATTGAGACATACACATTGGGAATTAATGGGATTAACACAACTTCTCATCAACTTTGTGAAAACTACATCAGGTGTCAAAAATCCTAATTACGAGTATATTAAGGAGAAGTTAAAACCCATGGCAAAAGGATTCAAGACTGGCATGTTGTAACTTATTTTTCCAAAGTCCAAGAAAAGCAAGAAGACAAAGAAGAACCAAAAGAACAAGGGTCAATTTTGAAAGATGTTTTCTGCTACAATTAATGAATCCTATATATTATTCCTTTTTGCATTTATATATCATTAAAATAGTGGAATGTGCTTTGATGCTGCAATTTGTAGAAGTCTTGAAAGGTACTCTTTGATTTTTTTATTTTGAGGCACAATGTTATTTGACACGTGGCAACCATCCAAGAGGTGAATGCAGTGACCAGTCTCCTTGGAAGATAGGAGTACTATCAGTCATCAATACTATTAGCAACTTTAGAAGTTTTTTATACAATTTAGAACTTTTAATGCGATCATTGCAAGTCTTTTTGTGCAAAAAAAAATGTAGACATTGATTTTTTTACTATTATTATTTTTCTTTAAAAATAAAGGGTAAGTTAGTGTTTTTATTCATTGAATTAAAAATTGTTCTTTAATTTTTTTTCAAAAATTTTGGACACCAAGTTTGGGGAAGTTTCAAAAAGCTTTCATACACTTATCCACTACCATCAACTCACACACTTACGCACTAGTACCACCACTCCATTGACCCAAAAAAGGAAGTTAGGGGAAGTTCCATCATTGGTCATCTTCATCTCATGACAAGAAGAAAAATAATTAGAAAAATAATTAGAAAAAAGGTCTCAATGTTATGAAATAATAAATAATTGTAAATGTTTATCACATTTATCTCATTTTCTAAATGATGACAAGCCTTTTATGATCTTCGAGATAATAAAGTTATCATGACTTTTGAGGTATTAGAATTACCACGATTTTTAATAAAACTATCACGACTTTTAAGTTGATAAAACTAGCATGACTTATTAGAAGATCTTATCACTATCTTGAAGTAATTAATTGATGTACTTTGAATTTCCCTATAAATAAGGGTTAACTTTCATTGTATAAAAGGGATAAAAAATTGAAGTTTCATAAGAGTAGTTCTTCTTTCTTACTATCCTTTTTCCTTGAGTTCATCAATTTTCTTAATTTTCTGAGTATAGCGCCCCACTATATAAACAACATAAATCTATCACCATATTAGTATTAGCTTCATAACATGTTATCAGCATAAGACTCTATCAAGATTCTACCAGTATTGAATCAACCGTTAAACACTTTCTTGGATAAT